TGTGCAAGTCGGTGTTGTATCCTTTGGAATACCTTGCGGTGTTGGAAAACCAGATGTCTACACAAGAGTATCCTCTTTCGGATCCTGGATCAGGCAACAACAGACCTACCTTCAATACGGCGGAGAACAACCTGCGGAAACCATCTACATTGCTTAAACCTACGATTGATGAACTTTTCACAATCGGCATTAAAATTTGACAATAAAGGATTCTTACATAACGATAATAATTAATGAAGACGAATTGGCTGTTGTTTATTTATATTCAAAATTAAAATGTAATACTAAAAATAAAGAATATATACACTAACCGAATTGAGGAACCTCTTTTTTCTTGTAAAACCTCTTGTAAAATAAAAGAATAATACAAATTAAATAAATTGTAATAAAATAATAGATTCGAGTGAAGGTAGGTCATTATGGTGGCGGTTAAGCGGAACGTCTTGGTGACAGCACTGGAACCTTGTTGTCAAAAGTCAACGGTTTGTCCTAGAGGGGGGTCAAATTTAGTCAGTATGTTCGCGACCTTCGAGAAGTACGGATCGAACTCTCAATCACATACCGGTACGGGTTCCCAACCAAGATGTTCATGCATGTGGTCACCCATGTGTTTCCTATGGTGTTTCCCATGCATTTTGAAATATTTATACGGATTTCTTACTGTGTTTAATGGTGTAGACATTCTCGTGTTATTTTGCATGTGCATTGGGATATTTGCAAAATTATAATTGTTTGCATGAATAAATTTGAACACGTTAATTATAATACAAATATTAAGAAAAAATGTATATCGTTCAAGAATCGTGATTATTGCGTTACAGAAGGGTGCTTTGACCAAACTGAGGGTGTCATTTCTGTGACAAGCTGTTGATCACTTATGGGTCAATCAGGAATCAATCATAAGTCAAACACTGGGAGACGTTGCGAGCGCAGTGGTATAAGTCAACGATAGGTGAGTCGCATGCGCATACTTTATCATGTCGTAGGACGAATGGTCCGAAACGACACGGGGTTTGGTTGAAATTTTTATAATTTCAGCGAGCATAGTAACTCACGAATATCACTATATCATTTTATACAATGGTAATCGTGCAAATTGCTTTTCTGTGTTTTATTTGCTTTTCTGTTTCAGAATTTTATTGTTTAAATTGTTACTGATATTGCAATGATAATTATGTTGTTTATTTCAGAATTTTATTGTTTAATTGGTTGCTGAAATTGCAATGTTAGTTATGTTTTCTGTTTTGGCATTCTATCGCTTAAATTGGTTTCTTAATTCGTGGTATCAGGGCAGGCCACTACCATAGCCACCTCCACGTGGTGTGACGTGGTAATTGATATTCGTTTTATAAAAATTTTTCGGAAAATAATCTTTAGAAAACAATACCGAACTCGGTGCTACGAAACTTTGTTCATTTTCGAACATGTTCCTTCGCAATAATTTCTATTTGGAGCAAAGACTACCTTCACTTCCTTTTCATAATGCATTTCTTTTACATTTTATAATATACACTTAATATATTAACAATCACACTCAGATATTTTAACCCTTTAACTGGAGAGTTAACTTACCAAACAATTGGAATGTATTTCTGTCAAATGTTATCTGACGAGTTGACTCGTTAAAAGCCCAGTTACAATAAATTAACAAATGTAACATAGCACAATTTATATTTAATTTGAAAAGAGAAAATACATTTGGATTAATATCGCATTTAATCCTTATCAGCAACAAAGTTGTCACTTAGGAAGGTATCGTAATCGTTGGTTTAAGCAATGTAAATTGCGTCCGCTGGTGCTTCACCAACTTCTCCATTCTGAACGTAGGTTTGTTGTTCGTTAATCCAGGAAATGAAAGAAGACACTCTTGTGTATACGTCGGGGTATCCAATACCGCAAGGTCTTCCAAAAGATACGATACCAATTTGTACACCGTTGGAAACCAGAGGACCACCAGAGTCGCCCTAAAAATGCAAAAATATAATTATTAGAATCATAGAACCTTAGAATCTGCAAATCTGAGAATTTTATAATTTTTAGACATTAGAACATTAGAATATTAAAGTATTCAAATTTTACAATTTTTATAATTTTAAAATGTTAAAATCCGAGGATTTTAGATTGATAGAGGGATAAATTTGGCTTTCATATAAGGAAATTTTGTATTTTTCTAAGATTTGGAAATAGAATAATTTTACTTACATTGCACGCTCCTTCGCCGTATTTGGTGAAAGTGCAAATATGAGAATCTTTCACTTGTATGTGTACCTTCTTGCACCTTGCCTGGCTTTCAACAAGCAGATCTATGTATTGTAATTTGTTTGGAAGATTTCCATTCGCCTGTACGAACAAATTGAGAAAAATTATTATAGATCATTTTTCAAACTCCCACAGAAGTGTCGTACGTATTTAAAAAAGCAATAATATTGTCTTCTGATACATTAATGATCCATTGTGACAATCAACAAGTCATTGAAATAAATTAGAATGTGACGCTTACTTGAAGCGTTCCCCATCCGGACAGAATGCAGGGTGATCCTTCGTAGGTGTTGCTTCCTTTAGCCAATGGAATTGTTTTGACCAAATCGTTGAAGACAATGTTTCTGTCAACGCGAATCAAAGCTACGTCGTTGGCGACGGTTAGCATGTTAAATTTACGATGAGCGATGATTTTCTCCGATGTGTAAGAGTCTCCGGCAGAACTCAAAAGATTCGTTGCAGTATGGACAGTGATGGCTTTTGGATTATTTTCGCTGTCAAGAAAAGTAGTTTCATGATACACAGGCACTGATCATTAAATATCTTCATATCATTCTTCTTGTTACGAAAGATTCCAATAGAATAGAGAAATGACAGATAAAATACTATATAAATGATGGAATAATTGTTCATTGTTATGAAGTAAGAAAAAATTGTGTAGATAAAAATTAATAAGATATTGATAAAAGATCACTGATGTAACTAAGTAATTGACTTTGTGAAACATACTTTCGGACACAGTGAGCTGCAGTGAGGATCCATCGAGAATTGATGATGGATCCACCGCAGAAATGATTACCACCTTTCCTGAGAGATACTTGGTAAGGAAACATGCCGGTTGGTGCATCTTTGCCACCGACAATTTGGGGTTCGGGGAACCCTGCATTGACAAAATCAGAATTATTACTTTTACCATAAAGGCACGCAAATTTATTAAACTTCAAAATTAAAAATTAGGAATTCTGAAGGTTTAAACAGAGTTTTGACCGTCACAGAAATGAATAGTATTAGCATATCAATTGATAGCAAACGGTAATTGCAATTAAACTTAAGGCTACAAATGTTCACTTTCAAAGTGAAAAATTTCAAGATATTTCTTCTTAAGACTGTCAGTACGTACCATATGCGATGGCAAGGAGGCAGAGTAGAAGAGGAACGCTTAGAGCTTGCATGTTTCCAAATGATCGGTAACTCACTAATGAGAACTGTGCTGATCTCTTTATATACGTATCGAAAGCGCAAATCAGGTTGATAAGGATAAAAAGTATATTCAATTTCGATGTGTGAAAATCTCAACTGATAAGGTATAGCAATTCATTAAGTTTTTAATCAAGAATATCTCTTGAGTATCGGCTTTTATGAAAGATTCCCTATCAGTTGTTTCATTATATTAGGATATTAATAGACACTCGATTTGCGCCTAAAATGGATATTTAATTAATACATTTAAGCTTATAATATTTGTTTTCTCTATCATGTTACCGATAAATCTAATATACCGCAGATACAAAGAATCTTGAGTACAAATCGAAAATGAATAAATCTAATGATTCATACAGCAATAAGCTAATCTAAATAAAATTTCTTATACTAATTACATAAATTCTGAAATTTTTTTATTTGTAATACTAATTGTTATCAGCAAAGCTTATAACAAAATGAAAATATACATATATAGTTTTCCTTTAATCATCCTCAACTGTGTTAATTACAATTAAAAATAAAATTTGAATGTATCGTATAGAAAAATTTTGATGTTTCATCAATTATAACATCGATTTTCATATCATAACACAATCTTGAACAACCTTTTTTTTTGATCAGACGTACTCGATCACATTATCATCTGTAAATTTCGATTAGAATTTAAAAATTACCTCCAAAGTTCACATAATTTTTACATCCTTCACATATGATATTATACTTATCTTTTCACCTAACACAAAGGCAAGTCTCCTGTCTTTGCTGATTCAGATATCACTTGTCTTTTACGTTTATTGTTAATACGTACTATATCTTTGCGAAATAAAAATTGCAATTAATGCAACAATTGCTTTGTGCATTAATGACAAAGAAGAGATACCGAGTACAAAAGGTGGTTGAAATCTACGTGATTTCGTCTACATGCCTTTACAATGATTGAACATTATTCATCAAATTCTGTTTATTTTATATCATTAGGTAATTATAACTAACCATTGCAATTAATGCTGTCATTGTTTCATCCAAAAACAGATCCGAAATTTCCTATCGTGAAGTGTAGCATGTATAAGAATGATTAGATTAGGGTTAAGATTGATTTAAAAGATAAAGAGTAATATTTGAACAAAAAACAGATAACGTATGTGATCGACAGACTTGATATTACATTTTAGTCTGATCGAACATTAGATTTGCATATCTTTTAGTAAAAGTTCCTTAAATGTCAAAACGTTTATCAATGTTATCTCTGAGATATTAATGTCTATGTCGAAGATTTATTAATAAAGATTTAAAAATATAAGATGTAAAGATTTATTTACCAACATTAGCGTTTTGAAAATATTTCTAATTGATGAGAAATCGTAAACGAGATCCTGGCATTTCTTTCGCGTACGTCGAGGTAATCAGACGTATCGAGAGAGTCGTTCTGTATACTGTACATAGTACAGAGGTACGAGTAGTCTACGTATTATATTATTTTGCATCAATTATTGAATTCGATTGAATTCGAATTCGAATTTCTTTTATTTGTTGCAGACATTTGGTAGTAGTTGGTATTAATTTGAAGAATTGGTAACGTTTTGATTTATTCTAATTAATTACTAATAGTTATTATTAATATATCTAGGATTATAATAAGGATATAATATAAAGATTATAATAATCCTTTTTAGTTTGTTACAGGAAATATTTTGGTAAGAACAGCATAATCAACAGTTCCATTACTTATATTCGTTTATATCCCTTTAGAATATTACATAGGCAGGTTGTAAGTTAGGTAGGACAATTTTGTCTTAATTTTGCCTCGGTTTGTGTAGGCAGACAGGTGTCATATGTGAATGATACCTAATTTTGTAGTCTAGTTAATGTTCCGGGACGATAATCTATTCGAGTGCGTCTGATTAGAAATAAGTTATCAAAGATTGTGTCATAACATAAAACATCGATGTTGTAATTAATGAACCACAGTCTCGAGACTTGTTTCGACCATTATAAAATATCGATCGAGCACAGTGGCGGTTTCACAATATAATCAAATTTTAATTCTTTTTTTAATTGCAATTCGCATAATCAAAAATCCTTAAAGAGAAATTGTGTACACTTTATAACATAATGTTATAATAAATAATTAAGAGAATTAATATCGTAAAAGAAATATCCTTTTGACGTAATAATTAATTTAGTATCATAGTAAAGCAATCGATAGAAGACGTTTCATGGAAATGAATACTTGAAACATTATATTCTTGATTAAAAATCAATGGTCGTGAAATGAATTATCAGCATTTTCTTGGAAAAATCAAGTACTTTATTTATCTAATTACGTAATTTTCACATTTACGACACCTAAGTATATAAAGCGATCAGCCCAAGAATTTTCAACAGTTGATTACTGTGTTTTCTTCAACATGGGAGCTTTAAGTGTTCCTCTTCTGCTCTGCCTTATTGCCGTCACATATGGTATTGTACTCTTTCCATTTCAAATGAAACTTTCAAAGTTTCGAATCTTTAGATTCGAAGTTTAATAATAAATTTGTATGCCTCCCGCAGGCTTCCCCGAAACTGAAATTGTCGGTGGCAAAGATGCCCCAGTGGGAATGTTTCCTTACCAAGTGTCAATCAGGAGGAGAGGAGTCCATTTGTGTGGTGGATCCATTATCAATTCTCGATATATCCTTACGGCAGCACAGTGTGCTCAAGGGTACGTTTTACGTGCAACAAAAACGTTAGCAATAGTGGCGGCTAGTAAGAATTTATAGTGATGGGGCTGTAGCAATTTTGAATTGAAAAAATTACTTCATTATTAAAAAACCTAACAGTAATTATTTTTGAAATATTATCATTTAAAACGGAAGCTTTCCTTTTATACCGAAGGGTACAAACTCTACAGCCCTCGCGGAGCCACCACTGATTAACAGTAAAGGAGTTATCGATTAATACCTCTATCTCAAGAAATTTCGTTTTTTCGATAGATTGGGTGATATAAGGAATATTTCCATTAATGCTGGAACAGTTCTTTTTAATGGGACTGGAGTATCGTACGAAATTGACAGAGTTGTAGTTCATCGTAACTACACCGTGGCGACTAATACGAACGACATAGCTTTGATTCGAGTCAATAGAAACATTCTTTTCAATAATCTGATCAAACCGATCCCATTAGCTAATGGCAATTACTCTTACGAAGGAGCGTCTTGTTTTTTAACCGGGTGGGGAAAGCTTTCAGTAAGTATAGCTTTCTATTTACTTTAAATTAACCCTTTGCCGTGTAATATTGAGTTATACTCGTAACGAAACTTAGTCTTTAGCTAACACTTTTAGTATGGTTGAATTTTTAGTTTAATTCTATTTCAAGAATCGTTGAATACCATGAATGCACTATATTTGAATTTTCTCTATTTTTTTCAAAATTCAAGCAACGAATAGTTAACTCTGACTGACGCAACTATAAAAAAATCATAGGAGAAGGAGTTAAAGTAAAATTTAATTTGAATTTGTTTATACAGCTAGGCGGAAGTAATCCAAGAGTCTTGCAGTATGTAAATCTGACTGTGGAAAATCAGTGGAGATGTAAACAGAAATTCTCAAATGTGATAAATTCTCATATCTGTACTTCCAGTAATTACGGTAAAGGAGCATGCGTTGTAAGTAAAATTATTCTATTTTGCGCGGAATAATATTCAACTACTGCTGTGATCATCTTTTGTCATAATCTTCTTTAGTACTACTTTGTTGCAAGTACAGTACGCATTCGCTTCGGCGTGCATTAAACGCGCGGGCATTTAGCGAACGCCTTTTGTATCAATTTTGCAGTTCACGATAACACCATCAGAGAATACAAAGTTAAAGTAATCAGTAGCTCCGCGTTTTAATAACAGATGGTAGTAAAACCCAGACGGCAATAATTTTTTATTATAAAAATATATTTGAAACATTTTATAATCTACACTGCAAAATTATCTATCGACAGATCGCAATTGATATAATAGATAAAATTAAGATAAAGAATAATTAAATAAAAAGTTAGATAGTCAAGAATGCGTGACACCGGTTATTAATTATCTCATTAAAAAAGGAGCGATAAAAAGTGTTTACAGAATATAAAAGATTAATATATCGAGCGATGTACATTTCTGGCTCGTCGTACATTTGTCGTAGCAATATTGCTATAATTAGAGAGAAAGAGAATGACATAACGATGGCCTGACTCTTTTATCAATTTAAGATTTTTAAATTTCATCGTTCAAATATTTAAAAATTGTAAATTTTAATATTCTAATATGCCAATATTCTACTATTTCAATATTCTAATATCCCAATATTCTAATATGTATTAGAATATTCCAATATATATTATTCTAATATTCTAATAGGGTGACAACGGTAGTCCTCTGGTTTCCAACGGTGTACAAATTGGTATCGCATCCTTTGGAAGACCTTGCGCTGGTGGATACCCTGACGTGTACACCAGGGTGTCCTCTTTCGACTTCTGGATTAAGCAACAACAATTTAACATGCGCAAAGGAGAAGTTGATGAACCACCATCAGACGCAATTTACATTGCTTAAATCAATAATTATGACACTTTGTTAACTGGCTATAAAGTTTGACAATGCAAATATTCTTATAATAATTCTTATAATAAAACTGTTATTAAGAGTAACAAATCTGTTGCTCACAAACATCAATTGTTTCATTAAATCGAATATGTACCTTCCCAAATATCCCAGTGTCCCAAAATAACTTTACAACTGGAAAACATCTTATCTTATCTTATATATATAAAAAGCAAAGACATCCGTCCGTATCACTTTTCAACTTGATATGTACTAGAAAGGTCTCGCTTAGTCTAGCTCAAAACCACTGCGTTTGTGCGGCTAAGTGGTCGGAGTCAAAAGTTACAGAGGTTTCAGTTTTTCTATAGAAAGTCTGTTGGTTGCACATTTTAGCTCCAGGGTCCCTGACACACCGGATGCCATTATGACGATATGCAAACTCAGGTAAGTATACTACGACATTTTCTTCTAGGTTTTCAAGTATACCCAGCTCACAGGTAAGAAGAAATAAGTTTAGGTATATTCTTATATTTCCTTCTTTCTAACGTTTTATACTCTTTCTAGGTCTAATCTTTCACTGTTATATGTCATATTCATCACTATCTTGCAATTACTATTTCGCGATTTATTTGGTTTTTAGGTCTTATATTTCCCTATTTCCGGTCAAATCCATCGCTATCCTGTACTCACTAATTCGCGATTTGATTGTTTATCTAAGTCTTATATTTCGTTAGATCTGGTCATATCTATCACTACCTGAATTCCCTGGTTCACAATTTGTTCGTTTTTAGGTCTTATATTTCACTTGTCGGTATAATTGTCACGTACTTTATCGGCGTCAACAATTGCGATGCAATACGCGCAATTTTTGCGCAATAGCCACACTTTCATTAATTAATATATAAAGAACACTAATTTAATGGGCGAAACTTCCCTGTAATAGTCTTACACTTCAGTCACTGCCTCGAGCCAACAGGCATTATGCCTTATAGGAGGCACTTTGGTATTCGAGAAAGAACAAAATTTTCTCAAATAAATAGTTAGTCGCTAAAGCGAGTGGGTTGTCAAAATAATTAATTATAACTTACAAGGAGAACTACCCAAGTGTTACACTCACTTATTAATGAAACTTTTCCAGCTTGTAAAGCTCGTCGAGCTGAACACGCCTATACCCCGTTTTGTGGGCAGACGACTAATTGTTTAAAAGATATTAATAATTAAAGTTAGTTACTACTTACATTGAGAAGTATGACAGACACACATACAACTCGCAATCTAGAGATCCACAGTTCAAATCTTTAGTTCCCAACATTTTTTTTTTTTTTTTAATAATAATTTGTCTCTTTTTGAATAAGTATTACATAAAAATTATCATAAAAAAAAAAATTTTTTGGGAACCAAGGATTTGATCCGAGGACCTTGAAGTTGCAAGTGATAGATCTGCTCCGTGGTTAAACACATGACTCGTAATGTAAAGGTCCTCGGTTCAAATCCCGGGTTACTGTTTTTTTCTTTTTTTTTTTTTTTACAATGATAATTTTTATGTAAGAGTTATTCAAAAAGAGACAAATTATCATTAAGAAAAAAAGAATGTTGGGAACCAAGGATTTGAACCGTTGTTTTCTAGATTGCGAGCTGTATGTGTGAGTCTATCATACTTCTCAATGTAAGTAGTAACTAACTTTAATTATTAATATCTTTTAAACAATTAGCCGTCTGCCCACAAAACGGGATATAGGCGTGTTCAGCTCGACAAGCTCTACAAGCTGAAAAAGTTTCATTAATAAGTGAGTGCAACACTTGGGTAGTTCCCCTTGTTAGTTAAGCGCAAAGCGATGGCACTTAGTGGCCGCACTGGTGTGCTTGCTATTAGTTTTTCAAATACTTATCTATAAATTGTTGATAACACTTAAACGTAAATGAGAAGAATACACTTATTCTTATTAAATATCTGTTGCAAAAGTAACAATTAAACATTGATTCACTTCTTACGTTCAATTTATTTATTTTCCATTGAAGACTTTCAACACAGACTTTGAATGAACATATTTGTAGGACACACACTTATATTCACTATAGTCATCAAATGATATCTATCTCTATATAGTCGTATAGAAATAGAATTTGTAATTGTCATCAGTCCATTCGAAAACTCGAATGATTACAGTAACTTACACCACATAATCACTTTGGTTATTAATTAAACATTGTTAGAGAAATTTCAAATCGCATAGGAAGCTTACATTTAATAACGTCAATGATATCTGGACGATATAACAGAAAAATCTAATTAAAATAGTTATGAAAATTCACATTCAATACTAATCTCATTTAAAATACCATAAAAATATACTGAATGGAGATTAAATTTGGTGAGTTTCTGTCTTTTGCACAATAACAATCACCAAATTAGACACTGAATTTCAGGAATGCTTAAATGTTAGTTTCTATTATCGTCACTGTTTAAAAATGAACTTTTGTAACTTCCTCGTCGATGGATGCAACATTGTGTTGTCTGAACATTCCGTTTCCTGAAAGAAAGTCTTACTATCTCATAGATTTTTGTACGTAACTAAGAAAGAAAATTTACTAGGTATCTTAAAAAGGTTGTTCACTGCAGGTTTTCTGTTTCGGAAGAAATAGAAAAGTTTTCTAACATTTTGCAATCTAAAGAACTTTTTTTACACAACCATTTTGAGACACCCTATACTATGCATGTAAGAGGAGCTTGATACTTTTATCACCAAGCTTTAGAACTGGCTCATCTGTCTCTTAAACAATCTTAACATGAAACTGAAAAATAGTTTAACTCAGTTTTTTTATTATAAACCCTCAATAAATTAAGTTAATAAAATCGCGATCATAGAATAAAAAACAATTAACTTTGAATCTGGAATGAAGATTTTTTTAAATGGTAAACATTTCAATTGCAGTTCACATAACTAATTTTAAACTGGAATTAAATAAAAATTTCATCAATGAGTTAAACTATTTCAATGAAATAAAAAAATTTCATTATGATACTAGAAATCCTGGAACGTTTCGCTGAAATTACAAATCACAATATAACAAAGAATAAAAGTCTGTTATGGAGATGAATATACTGTAACAAAAAATTATTATAAGCGAACCACATTAACAATAGGACTTTTCCCTCTGTACACGAAACTCAATTATCGCTCTGACGAAAATACCTTAAAAAATTCAATCATACTCACGTGATACGAAGGCACTTGAAACTCCACTGAACAGAGAAACAGGAGATTAAAATATTTCGACCCAGAAAAACGCGTTCCCGCGCGATCTTCCTTATTCTTCTATACACCTAAGAGGGATACAGGAAAAAAAGATGTTAAAAGTAAATGTTTCAAATGCTTCAAATGAAGCTTTACACAGATCGAATTAAACATACGCGTGATAACATATTGATAGTATCTTTTTTTTCTACATGTCAATTTTATTACTAATTAAAATTTAAATAACGTGCAGAGATTAAAACTTAATACAGATTAAACCACGTTTGGTATTTAACATATTGTATAATAAGTATTTGATACGATTTTTCTTTTTAATTTTTATTTCATTTCTATGTTAACGTAGTTAAGATACATTAAAACATTTAGAAGAAAGTTAAATAGATTTTATTATATTGTTTCCACATCACATCTTAATATTAATTAACGCTTCGCCGTTTTCTCTTTTTTCATTTTTTTTAATCTCTAGAAGAATTAAGTACGAAAATTCCAATGTAAACAGGCTGTTATAATTACTAGTATATAGATAAACATGTTTATTTATTTTTTGTCTGTTAATTGATTAGAATTTTAATTTGATTTTATGTCTTTGAATGGAACTTATAGCGCCAGTGGCACGGCTTTAGTCATTTGGATAACAAGTTAGGAAGACGCATCATACCTGGATCAAATACTTACATCTCTGAGATTACAGTAGTGTTAGTCTAAATTAGCGAAAATTCGTAGTTCACTTTTAATATTAATATCGTTGAGATTAGGATTTTGAAAATTTCTGCTTCCGATGAATTGCTGAAAAGCTTAGTTTGATTGCGAGTGTACTAATTTTTATTAATATCTCGAAAACTATGAATTTCTGGCAATTTAAACTAATACCATTATAATTCTTGAAAAATAAATTTTCAATCAAGATATGATTCTTCACCTACTCTTCCTAATAGCTAAAGCGGAGCTGCTACTTATACTGAATAGTTACAAGATTACAATGTCTTCCTTTCTTTTTTTTTTTTTTTTATAACGTTGATGCTATATCATATCTTTACAATAAAGTACAGAAATTTATCAATTCGTATATTTTTTCACGTGTCACTATACACGTGTTCGTTAAAGCTTATTTATATTCTTTTTAAATTGTTTTAATTAGTTAAACACTATACACAATTAATATTACACGAATTACGGTACAATTTGCATAATCGTATGCAACTTATTTAATCATTCGTAAATTTACAATATTTACTTCATTTTTCTCTTTTAAACATGTATTGCTAATTTATTATAATACACACGACTGTCCGAGCTATGTTTAGTGCGTGAAGTATTAAAAACTAAAGAATACCTTTTCCTTTTAATTGAAGTATCGCGAATAAAAACGAACTTCTCAAAATATTTATATGTATATTTTATAGTTTTTCATCAAACTATATTGCCAATCACAAAACAAAAATGCAAAAACTTATCCAGGATAGATGTACAAAATGGAATAGCAAAAAGAGATACGAAACATTCAATCTATAGAAAAAAATGAAATTTCATGACACAGCTCCGACGGTTTTTTATTTCACAATTTTACTTGTTTGCATTCCATCGATCCTCTTGGTCCTCAAGCCTTCCACTCTGACGTGACGATTTTTTTTTTTTTTTATTTGGAAGAAAAATTAAATGAAAAGGATTCGAAGGAACGGGTATAAAAAGATCAATGGTCGATCTCGTGAATGTTGCGACATAAAATTAATTAATTCAGACCTTCTACGGGACGAATATTCATGATAAAAACATCGAAATCGCTGAGACACTTTTCATGGTATTTCAACTTATCCAGTGGCTAGAAAAGCACACGTCACTGAAATTCACCAGCGAAAGGAAAGAAATGGACACGAACACAAAACAGCATCTCTCAAAACGTACTCGTCAGAAAACAAGAGTAAATATCAATCTAACGGATATTCTAAATCGCCTAAGCAACTTCGAGAATCGAACGGATCTACTGTACCGATTCGACTGATCGTCACAATGCTATGAAAAGTTGTAATATCGTTTGGTTGAAGATTACGCGTTTAGAGCTATGAAAAAAATTGTCTCAGCAGGTGTTTTGGGTACGTAAAAATTAAGAGAAATTTTGGATGATTCTTTTGGGGGGGATTCTTTTACTTGGAGGGTCGTGAATACGGAGCGTTGCGGTAGCGCGAGCTTGAGCCCGATGTCGTTGTCGTCTTGTACGATTTCCATGCGCGGCTCGATGATTCCTCTGCGAATTTCATGGAGTGATTCATTTGCATTATTCCAGTTAATTTAATGCACCACGACGATATTATTAATCGGATGTTCTCCTAACTATGCTACGCGAAGCAACAGCGTTATGTTAATTCGAAACGTATAGTCCATGATATTTGATTGCACGCAATCATAATTTTTCTATGATATTGTCTATTGAATTTCAAATTAATATACTATATTTTTATCATGAATAACGACGAATAATAATTTATATCAGGTATCAATTATTCGTATATACTCTTGTTGATAAATATCCCGAAATACTCTTCATTATATTTATAGAAGGTGATAATATCGGTTAATCTAAATAAGTTATTTCTTCCTCTGTATGCCAATATTTAATTAACTTTATGTATTGCAGCGTTGTTAAAATATCCACTGATTATTTTGCTGAACTTGCAATATCTTCCGTTGAAACTGAATATATTAATTTGAAACTCTTGTCAGTAGACAGCAACACAAGAAAAGTATCACTACATTTAGTCAAATGTCGCGGACTATAATTGAACTGATCGTGAAAGGACTGAAGGATTTAGCTCAATTAAGATCACACACGGTTATGTGAAGCCATTCCATGACCGTTTTAGCTTTCAATATTATAGAAAATTTCGTTAATTCCGATTCAACGTATGGAAGAGAACGTATTTCAATTTTAAAGGAACAATACGCATTTCATTAATACAATAATCATCGTTTTATACTTCTTATATTTGTTCGATTTAATTATGAAATTGTTGCAAAAGTTCAAGAAATTACAAGAGTTAATTATTACAGCTATAAGCCATTATATTAATCTTTTTTTTTTACTTTTTAGGATTCTGATATGTTTAAGTCTCTACTTAAGAACTTTAAGTATGTTAAACTAATTTTTATTGTCTATTTCATGCTCCGATAATTTTTCAAAGATTTTTAGATTATCAAATTGCTCGTTCAATGTGATTCAATTTGGAATATTTAATTTACGTATAAATTAATGTATTAAGATATTTTAACGGGAATTATGTTAACGTTGTGCACATCACGCATGCGAATATTTACGGTAATTTATATTTAATTAATTGTTAAATTTGTATACTAAGGAAACAGTAATGAGAAAAAAAAGTAGTACATTACCTGGATATTCGGATGTTTCGTAGTAGTCGTGCGAAGAGTGCGGGACAGCATCGTCATCGTACTCGTAAGTCGTGTACCTCGAGGAAGGATACATATCATGTCTAAATGACGTATAAAAGTACATGGCACATTAAACAACTAAATTATTCTATACATCGTATAGTCAGTGAAGAAAAGTACGAGTTGCATCAACTGTTAATTTCACGATGAAAAAAAAAATACAAACTTAACTTCAAATGTTTTGTTTGTTACAATTGACTGCCACACACATGTTGAACTTAGGATGGATCAATTACGAGATGCAAGAGGAAAGTCTTACGAACGAGTAAAACAGAGGTATCGGAGATACTGATACATTTCAACCCTTTGACTGCTGGGTACTCCAGGCTTAAACGTTTTATGTGTACGAAATAAGAATTAAGTCAATGACACTTATCATTTTTCTTTTTTATTTCATTTCATTTCTCAATTTATTTTTTCATTGCTTTATTACATCATTATAATCTAATAACATATGGTATGTAATTAGTAATATGCATTAATAATTTTTATTTGATTATAATTAAGATACACAAGAAACATACTATGGACGTATATGTGCGCCCATAGTCGTCATCGACAGCTTTCACCTGATGCATATCTGCGTCCATAGCAGTCAAAGGGTTAAAGAACAATATCTCTAAAGATAAGCTCGAATTTGAATATTGACATTATCTTTTGATTTAATTGAAATAATTCAAGTTCAGAAGGTGTAACCAAAGTTCGACCTCCAACCAGCTAATTCGGAAACGGTTTGAGATAGAGAAAGAATATTTCACAAACTATTATCTATTTAAATTTTTAATATTCATATTGATCTGCTACAGAAGTAGCTAAGAATTTTCAAAAATATGAATAAACTAGAAATCACGAATAGTGAAGAAACTTAGCATTTGATAAGAGAGACATATTCTTGCGGAAATTAGAAAAGTATTATTAATAACCCTCTCTAACAAAATGTGTATTATACTTACCCCGACGCCGATGTGTAATGCCGATCTCCATATCGACTACTACCACTGGTAGACGTGTGATAATCATAATCATGATGGGATCCAACGCGATTGCTTGGAGGAGGGGTAGCAGTCTCGTAACTACAAATAAAACAATTTCCATACGTTTTAAAAAACATTTGAAAGAACATCCATCTTTAGTGGATAAACATAAACTCTTACCCATAACTCTGATCCATAGCAACTCTAGCGCGGTCCAAAATGGAGAAGACTTTACTTTTTGCTGATACTTGACGCGAAATTGGCCCTCGACTCGAAGGTGGTGGAAGTATAGCCGCTAAATTAAAAATATTAAAAAATACATAGATAGCCAAATCATAGTATTTTTTACTTTGAACCTTAAGACATTATCCAGAGGATAGATTGTAAGAAACTAAATTAACTACTGACAATATTCCAGTGATGTATCACTGTTTCTCCATCATCTTAATTACCTCTGGAAGATCGTGGCATCGTAGGTCTTGCAGTGGGTCTCAGTATTCCACCGCCACTTGGCACGCCTCTTATAGAAGGCCTTCTGTCGTCGGCACTCGTTGGATCATCGGTCATGCTCATCTCCATTTCTCGCATTTGTTCCTGACGTATATTATCGTTATTATCAGGAATCAAATACTTCCTAACTTCGGCCAATGCGAACGCGATACGGGCATAAGCCTCCGCAGGAGGTGCTAGAGCTGTTATCTCAACGTGAAGATCATCCGAAAGATGAGCATATTTTGGATCAAGAGACATACGGCATTCTTCTTCCTAAATGAACAATAACTTCAGCGGTACTCAAAAATTTCTTTGTGTTATTATTTTTTAAATCCTTTTATCCGGATAAATTGTGGTAGATACCTTTTGACGATCTTTCATTGATCCTCGTCCTAGCACCGCCATTTTACACATCGTTTCTTCTTGCAAACGTTTCATAGAATTACCTTTGGGACCCAATAACTTTCCAACGAAATTAAACTGGAAGTAATATTACTGTATAAGTTTATTCCTATTTGCATAAAGAGCATAAAAAGAACGCGATTACCTTTGGATGTTCCCGAACAGGTACCAATACTTTAACCGAAACACGAATCGGTTTTTCGCGATAAATATCTACATATTTCGGATCCCTTACTGGTTTTCCAATGGCTTGAGTCTTCTGAATTTCTGTAGAATAAATCATTCACCTTTGATTCGAGATTATTTTCATTATCATGATTTCGAACATTATTTCATTTTCTTCAGGTGAATAAATCAATTAAACGTACATTAATTTATTTATTACAGAAATGTTAATAAACAAGTAATTACATGTTTAAATAAAAAGTATACTTAATAATAAAAGTACCTAAAAATTTTAAGTACTGTATTTCATTAATATATTGAAACGGGTATGACTTGTATTTCTAATTTTACATTAATAAACAAAAAATAATAGCTACTATAAAAGTAAAAAGTTATCTGTTAATAATGTCTGTTATAAAATAAATTGATATTAAGTAATATATGTATATATACATTTCATTTGACACACTTAACTTATAAAGGTAACAATACTTAAAGGTAACTGTGGACAATTAATCAACTTAATTGAAGTTATGAATGACAAGCCTAACCTTAAGCATCACTCAGACTTATTTAGCCTAACCATAAAATTGTATGGAATAAGAGATTAAAACTGCATGGGAAATAAGCATAACACTAATACAAGAAAAACAAATTTGCAACAAAATAGGACACATCAATGAGAATAGTAATAATAATGGAGCTAAAATAAAAAAAGAAGGTGAATACTAATGTAATTACAACAATAAATATTACCTTGATCGAGTAGTCTAGTTGCATTAGGCCATTTCTGCGAATCCAATTCAACTTTTTCTTGCAAAAGCTCCCGAACATATTCTCCGGCTTTGTCAACTTGATGCTCTTTTTCATCTCGTTCTTTCTCCGATGATACTCTTACTTTAACGTCGGCATTTTCATCTCTTTGATATTTGTACTCACCGTTGCTCTGTCTATCACTCATGACTGATACCCTCTTATCAAATACTTCGGTAGTGATAAACAGAAAAAAATAACGGTTTTGTTAGTCAGGTAAAAGACGGAAGCTGATCATTAAACGGAGCAGACGTGAGTTTACAGCAAAGTTACAATGGCTGAACGCTCACTATTCCATCTCTTACAAACCTTAAGGTGTATATTCATGCATATACTGACTCACTTGTTACTCTTAGATTATTCAGATAATATCTATATGTAATCTAACATAAGTTCAATACTCTAATGTAATAAGATATCTTTCTTTATAATTTAAACACTATCTATATATATTCAGAAACATACTAAATTTAATGGGATGTAGGGGGAATCTCCTACTATTAGACTAACTCATTTTTAGTTAAAATCTGTTTATTTGTTATGAACTTAAGTTTTTTAATTTGCTTTCAATTTTGAAACATTGTATGCCGGTAGATATGAACGGAGTTTTAGACAGAGAAATACTATCCTCTTCTGTCATGGAGAAGTTGTATAGAGTGAGTCGTGAGTCAAGTTGATGGAGGGAAGTCCCATCTCCTCATATCCTTTTTAACTGAATGAAATATTTGGAGCTAGGAAGTAATAATATATATTTATCTAATCTAATAAGAGAAAATAATTCAAAAGTATTTAATAGATATGTTCTATGATTTCTCCAAATTTTGAGTATGTTATAAGTTGGTGAATAGGTGTTTTTATTATGTACAGATGGCGAGAATATCGAAAATATTAGCATAAGTAAATTATTGAACGTAACCTCGCAAGATGATAATGTACGTTTTCGGTTTTTAATTATGTATAAAAGTCGTAAATTAGTGTAAACAAATATTTTAAAAATGAGTCATATAGTAGTAATACGAAGCTATAAGCCGGGTGATGAAATTCACTGTAAAGAGTTAGCAAAATCCGGTGTTATGTCATCTTTAAGCTCAACATTTTTTGGAATTGTATTAAAGGAATTAACATTCCAGTTGATGATACTATTCGCCGCTATAATGTTCATTTTCTTTGGATTGCCTCTCACAGTTTGTTTCTTAGTTATACCCCTTGTTATTTTTCTTGTGTATGTTGGAACTTACATAGCTTTCACTGCGAAAACTATGGAAGTTAGTGAAGAAGTTTCTAATATACCAAGGTAAAGTTTCCTTTTATTTATGTGCATTCATTTCTATTCATTTTAATAATTATTTAAAATTATCAGCTTCTTTGCTATTGCTTAATATCTCATATTTTTTATGAGCTTAAAAGTACATATACATAAAAAGTTAAATGAAGTAAAACAATTTTAACGGAAGAAATTTCATTGTATAAACTGCATCATCTATTACAACAGGATGTACATGTCCAATGCATTTTCATGCTGTTGGGTTGCTGAAGCATTTGAACCTTACCTAATGACAAATGATCCAAAGAATATACATTACACCATTATGACAGAACAGCAGTTTCGTGATTCAAACATTGATATTTCATCTCAAATAAAAAGGATTGTAGGAACTGTTGCTTTGTGTAAAAGTCATAGATTAGACAAAGGTGCATGGATCAAAAGACTCTATGTACATGAGAGATATAGAAGGAAAGGAATAGCTTCATGTTTAATTAATGTTGCTGTACAGTTTGCTATGGATCAAGGGTATAGCTGTGCTAATATTGTTGCTTCTGAATATACAGAAGGTGGAAGAGAACTATGTCTTAAAAAAGGTTTCGAGTTGCAACAAATGTATCATAAACCTATATTGGGTCCACTCATATCTACATTAATGTATGAATTGACATATCAGATTAAACCTGGTGAAGATGATTATGTGCCTACCGAATACAACAGATCAATGCTTAATCAATAAGAATTAGATCTGATATTTGATCTAATGCTTGAGCTGAATTTTTGATACATTCATAAACTCAAACATATATTTCCAGAGAAAATGTTTCTAAAAGTTAAATTTATAACTAATTAAATAGAACTACTTATATTTTATATAGAAACATATTGAAAGTATAATGTGGTAATAAATGTTTATTATATAATTCAACATTTAATATAACAACAAAATATAACTTTATGTTGCATGAATCATATGTATAGAAGAATGTAACAAAATATATTTTCTTACTTTCTTACATTTTTCCAATATATTTGAACCTCGTTATTCTCCCAATGTCGTTCTGTTATTTTACTAATGTATCTGAAATAATAGAAAAATTATTTTATTTATACATATATATTTGTAGTATGTAAAAAAGCAGCATTAGTCACTTATGAGCTTTATGGACTGGCGTTATTTCACTACTTAATGAATTTTCAATTCATTTTGTTAGCAGTATTATGAAAATGATTCTTGTGTTATGCAGGAATTTTTACTTTAATAACTCACCAACTTAGAGATGAAGTATTATATGAAAGTCTGAAGACTTATGTATCACAGAAATGTATGGATAAGATATAATCCTACATTAGACACTTTAAAAAACTCTGATAGCTGGAACTAGGGGCACATAGAAGAGAGTATTTATTTTTTAAGATATGTGACTTTAGATTTTATAACAGAATACTCTACAAAAGAACTTGAATAAGTAGTATGAAAGGGCTGGGAGGATGCAAGATAAGGCATGCTTTCTTTCAAATTATTTCCTGAAACATTACTTTAGCCTGAATTTTGTATATAACTTAATACATACAATTCATTAAACAGCATTGCCTTATTCTTGCAATGAATCTTGGTAATAGCCTCAACACAGTATGAAATGTTTAATATAATATGAAAAACCATTACAAATAAGCTCCATACAGTTGATCATAATAGCAAATCTTTGTCACAGAATAATTGTATTTTTATACTTTCATATAGTTCTTATAAAGATCATTAAATAATATTAATTATTAATAACATGATACATTTTCCTCATGATTATGCAAAGATAATAATATTGTCTTACTAATTTATTATTATACTCACTTTTCTTGAACTTCTTGTAATAGAGTTTCCTCCCTTTCTGTAATGCCATTTTTAAGTACATTAAGGTTCATCTTCAATTCTTTTAAGTTTTGAATTCCAACCAGGTAAGTGGCTATGTCTTCACATTGCATAGTGTACCATAATGCTAATTTTGCTAATTCAGTATCATGCTCCTGGAAATATAATCTTTCAATATGGTAGTTAAAATATTTTTATTAAATACTAAAGGTATATTTTTTCACCTTGCAATAATTTCCAGCCTCTGCGCATATCTTTTTCGTATTATCCGAACTTGGATGCCAAGATGGTGGACCATTATTAGTTAATAATCCCATACATGGTGCTGCAGCATTAATTATGCCAATGTTGTGCTTCTAAATTAGAAAAATTAGAAAAAATATATGACATATTTATCTATTATGTTATGTAATTAATTTATTACACTGTGGTAAAATTGTACCTTAAAAAATGGAATGTATTCGCACAAAGTATTGTCTATTAACGTGTATCTTGCATAGCTTAGGATTACACTTATGTTAATATTACTTTTTTCGATACATTTTTTTAAAACCGATACCGGATATCCGGTGATACCAATGTGTTTCGCTTTACCCTCCGCAACTTTCCTCGATAATTCCGGTAAAGTTTGGGTAATTATTACGTCCAAGCTTTGTGCAAATTCAATGTCGTGAACCTGTGTGTATCAAAGAATTCAGTAATCAACGAAGTTAAATGAGGAGTTGAAAAATGTTTTATTACCTGTATGACATCCACGTAATCTAAATCGAGAAGTTTTAAACTTTTATTGAAACTGTTTCTAGTTTTCTCTTTCGAGAAATCAAACATATTTTCGTAATTTAATTCATATCTTCCGACTTTTGTCGCGATATAATATGCTTGACGAGGAATGTCTTTGAGAGCCTAAAATTAATATGACAATACGAATGTTAAACATAATTTTTGGAAAAGTAATTTGTACGTAATATGGGCGTTGTTTATTTAAAAGAAAATATTGAAGTACTTTTCCAATGATGGTCTCAGAACGGCCTTGGCCATACCATGGTGCAGTATCAATATAATTAATTCCCTGCTTGATGCCTTGACGTATTACTTCAATAGCTTCTTCTTCATCGAATTCTCTATCGACGCAATAAAATGTATTAAAAAGATAATAAGAAGGTTTTTAAAAATTCTTTTACAAAATTTATGTAATGTTTACAATTTCTGGATGTACGCAAAATGATATCGTAGACATTTAATTGTATGGAGTTTATTTATTAGAATTATTTGTAATAACTAACCCATAATGGCAACCAAATATTCCACCACCAAGTGATAATTTACTAACTAATAAGCCGGTTTTGCCAAGTGGCCTATATTCCATTGTTTTCACAGCTTCCAGGTCGTGAAAACCTTCGACGTAAGTCGGCGGTAACATTTTTCTAAGTGTTATTAATAAATTCAGTCAATTACAAGTAGAAGAATATCATTTATTTATGCGAATTTGTTTTTTTCATTCGATTTATTTAAACAGACAAATAAAAGTTAATTTTAAAATTAAAGGATTTGATATTCCAGTGTCTATCGCAAAAATATATTTAAAATAATAAAAATCTGAAAGCAAGTAGGAACTAAGAAATTTATTAAGACGATTTTTCTTAATATTTGATAAGTACGAGTATAATTAGAATTGTATATTGTTATCTGTAAATAAATTGAATTAGAACAGATAATAAATCACTTTTTAAAATAAAAGTTTAGGAGATATTGAAACTGTTACAATAAAGAGAAAAAAAGTCGCTTGTGCCCCAGCAAGAGCATTATCGTTTTCTTTTTAGTATTTTTATTATAAAGTAAATACGTAAGTATGTACTGATATTCTTTCTTGATCTATTCTAAACGTAAACAAAATTTGTTTGATTCCACCTATCTAAAAAGTTTGTAGTCTTTTATCTCTATTTTACTTATTTTTAGTTTTATCTCTTACTTTCTCTTTTTTTGCTCTTAAATCTCGTAAAAAATTAAAACAAGAGACAAAACTTTTAATAGAACTTTCTAATAATTATCGAATAATTTTTATTACCAAATTTTATAAATATCATCAATAATAAATTAAAAATTCTACTTGCATTCATTTCATCATTATTAATATTTCGGATGTTAGAATATAAATGAAAATTTTCATACTTATTATTTACAATGCACAGTTATATAATGTAAATAAACAGGCTATTTATATGCACGTAAAATATATTTTGTTTTTATATTATTAATGTTCAAGGGCTCTTGAAGTTGAAGAATAAGATATTGTATATATTTTTGTGAAAGTTGGAAGTAATCAATTAACATGTCAAGATAGTATTATCATTAAGCTAAGGTATATCTGCTAAGCTGCAATTGCAAACAACCTGGATTAATAAGAATGAGTACTCAATAAACACGTATCATATAACTCGAACCAATACTTTTATATATACTTTAGTACTCCGTCACCACATATCAAATTCAATTGTGAATAAATGAATATTACTTTTTTAGCGTATTTGCAAATAAACAAAATTTTCTACTCATTTGTCAAACTTTTGCACCCGTTAAACAACTTTAACACAACTCTACAAACCAACACTCGAGAGGAGGAACCAGCACCAGTACTGAATAAGCGACGCAGGTTCTCGATTTTATAGACAAAAATTTTGATATGTACTCCTCTATTGCCATCCTTTTGAACTACAGTTCTAATATCATGTCTGTTTTATTGATCCGAATGCAAAGAAACTTTAAAGGAAATTGCATTACCGATGACAGATAAATTACGTTTGCCGCCAAAACTGCTGTTTCGACAGAGTTAAATCCAATATGGCGTCCGGTGCTTCGAACGAATAAGGCGCGAGTGTTAATTTGTGATCTTAATGAAGAAAATATCGTTTATTAGTGTAATCCCTGCTACAAAGGTGGTGAGTAATATACCGTCAATCATAATATTGTAATTATTCGTAGCTTTTGATTCATGCAAGTGCATAAACGTTTTAAATTTGATCCTCCAACCTATGCTGTTGGCGTGAATGCGAAACTAGTAACGAAATAAAACGTATCGCTACGAACTGAAAGTAACGAAGGGAATTCGGGGATTTTTATGCGAATACTAAATAATAAAATTAGTACGCAGTTAACAGTGCACCGTGCACCGGCGGTTAAAGCTAATTTAATGATTTTCGTTATTGGCTCGAACACCGTAAAGCTATCGAGGCCCATCTGTTGCCCACGTAGATTTTAATATCGCTCCACTCATTTGCGCCCCTTGATTCGAACCGAATCGTGCTGTTCCGATCTGGATAGCATTTTAACGTTTTCAATTCTACAACGAATTTGTTTACAACTGCTCCGCCATTCTTAAAAAGTTTATCGATGATTTATCACTTTCCGTAGCTTCCATTAGAGTAGGTTATGAAGGTATTTTATGTCAGAAACAGACACGTGGAATGAATATATTGAATATCAATCTATTTTGGTTTATAACTTAATCTTACAAGGGAACATATCGAAGTGTCAATCTCCGATTTTAATGAAACTTCGCTATAATGTAGTTTTCGTAAAAATATCAGACACATATTTTTTATACCTAGGTGAAATCAGCCACCAAAGCTGGGGGGGCATGACCTATTTCGATGAATATATCGAAAACTATTAGAGATATAGAAATGGTGTAAATTGATGAAATTTGTGTTTTCGAACGACGAATTTGATGGTGTAAACAGATTTGCAAAATCTTCTCCTCATTTTCCTTTTTTTTTAAAGAAAGTCAAAAATGCGAAGTTTGAGATTGGGTAGTTATTTTTATAATAATTACATAGATGCATTTTGTATAGTATTCACAATTTATTCTATTATTACTCGCTGATTACGGTATTCACGCCTCCGCCAGCATGAATGGACTAAAACAGCATAGAAATCGGTTTGAAATTGGGGGAGGTAGAGATCGCGTAACAGTCAAAGGGGTGCAATTAAAATCGCCGTTTAAGCGACGTCGTCAGGCATGATCGTCTACAAATAATCTACTACTCGCGACTATGTTTCACTTTCCAGTGGTAACGTTTTATCGCTTTGTTCGAAAGAATGGTGGAGGCAATACATCAAGTCACAGGGTTGTTCAATAATTCCGTTGGGTATCGTAAAGGAACAATGAGACGAGTATTGGCCTTTCGTCGAGTCACCGATAGGTTTTCTCGTCCCGAACTAGAGAAAGATAGATGAAGTTAGAGAGACAGATAGGGAAAAGAGAGGCGGACTGAGGCAAGTGACACCAGCTCGTTTATTAATAAACGAAAAAAAAAAGAGGAACGGGATAAAGGGGAGCAAAGCAGAGTGAGAAGGCGCAGGGGGGTGAGTGATGGCGGAGAGCAGCATGGGATGAAAAGGAACGTAGTGTAGTAGGGTGGCGCGTGACGCGGGGTTTAAGGAAGCCGCCGAATATATACGCGCGCCGATCGTTCGCCACCGCTTTAACAATTCGCGACGCGTCCGCGTTAACAGCGTTACGACAACAAGCTCGAGTTGTAGAAACTTATAACGAGAAAATAATGAACCCGGTTCACCAAGTCTGCTTGGAATGCGAGCCCCGGTGTACACCCAACCTCTCGCGAGTAGCTGTCCCGGCTCTCTCGCTCGTTTCACCGTCCTCCCGACTTTAACCACCTTTTCGATTTTCTACCGTACTCCCTGAACCTCCCCTTCCCCCTTTGGTCCGCCGCTATTCTAATTTTAGTCTCCGTTTCCATCGCGCCGCTCACCCTCGCGTCCTCCTCTTTGTTCGTTTCATATTTTCCTTTTATACCGATCACCTACACCTGCTCGTTTTCTTTTTAACCCCCTCCTCGTTCGGATCCTTCTCTTTCGTTTCCTTTTCGTTTCTTCAATTTCCTTCGCCCTTCATTCCGTAAAGGAATATTTGAATGTTGAGGATTCCACGAGGCGAGAACAGGCGACGAAGCCGAGGACGACGTTTGTATTGAACGCGAGGACGAATCGAGCGAGGAATTTCCTCGTGGAATCTGCAGACCCTGAACGAACGCGAAGACAGATAAGACTGATGTCCTGTATCCTATCCCTGAACGTCCTCGGCGAACGATCGAAAGGGCGGGAGGACGGGGGGTGGGTGAAAAAAAAGGACGAAAACAGGAAGCAGGATGCCGTCGGTATCCAGAATGGATTACGGAATCGGATGGAATAGCGGACCGGAAAGTCCTTCTTCTCTATTCTAGCGCGACACCTCATCATTCCGCCACGTTCGCCGGGGTATCCTACGACGTACGACGTGTTTCGATCTCTCCCCCAGGCGTGTACGGTGATTTAAGTCACTGTTTACGTTTTTCGTTGTCTTTCGCCTGCTTTTCTTGGATCGCAAGGGAATTCGTATTCCTCCACGGTTCCCTTCCTATATCTCACGCGTGTAAATCTATCACGGTATTAGATCAAATATCGAACTCGCTACGAGTGTCAAGTTGTCGATGCTCCGAGAGAAATGATCAAACCTGCGCTAAAATTGCGCAATGTGTACATGACGGGATTACGTTTATAAGTAGGTGTAATATACTATTTCAAATATATAGAAATGTTGTGGAATTTTACTATTTCAAATTTCATTAGACTTTTATTGCAAAGAGAAGTCCCCGTACATTCATCAAAAAAGAATTTTAGGGGTGTAGAAAAAATTCAGAAAATTTTACTAAAAAATAGGAAAGCATAATAAAATAGCGGAAATGAAAATTTTCTTACACTTTCCTTAAACATTTCCTTTATAATCTCGTCTATATCTATATTTGTAAGATTCCCATTTTACTTTAGTTTAATTATTATTTTGAAAAATTGGGTATAATTTCAATTCATTAGAATACTTTCTTTAATGACAGTATTATACATACATATTACCGTGTTCTGTACCTACGTTATTACGAGGACAACGAGAAAGAGCGATGATAACTGAAACAGAGGATCAGATGCGTCTCGTGATATCCACACGAGAGAAATGCTTGCCATTGGATTAGCATACTATCATTTAAACAGACATTCCGGATGCGTCATCCGGTCGTCATTAGTAGCGCTCATTGAAGGTTCATTGAGAGCTGGATCCAGTCCTACAGACTAATTACAGTCCGGCGTATAGGGTATCGAAAGCAGTCACCGACCTATAAAAGGGTTGCGAAACACGTACTATTACGTGGCACCTACGTATGCGTTCGGCATTGTGCACATTAATGAACATTCTACGTTTACACTGATCTGTGATTTAATTCATCGGTGATTAGTTCGTCTTTAACCCTTACTTTATTTTAAAAAATTTCACGAGATAATGAAACCTTTCTCAACTACAAATTTTTAGTTAAAATTTATCATTTTGTTGAAGCTACATGTAAAATTATAAGTTAGGGTTGATGCATAATTTATACGATTCATTTCACGAATTCGGTCAATCAATGGAAGCAGAATATCATGGCAAATAGAATAATTAAGGATTGTTAATAATAATTGCTAATGTCCTCATTTTACTAGACATTCAATGCGTAAATCTTTAAAGATTTTTATAAAAATGCAATGACAAGGGATTAATAATAGCGTATAATCAGATCGTTAATGGGTTTTCGTACGACCGACATTTATTATGTTCATAAAGTGTCGAGTGACGAACGTCGTTCAATGAAATTTTTGACGTAATTTGTATCCGCTCAGCCGACGTAAAGGCGAAAGATAATGCTTCCCAGATCAATGATGGTGACATCGGGGTCGAGTGTTTTTATTCCATTACTCGGCAACGCCGTCTTCCTAACCACTTACTTAACCTACAACCTTCATCCTCGTACCCCTCACGACGGGGCTTGATGGTCTTCGACAACTCAAATATTATCCGCCGCACAATTCTCCCTTCTTCGTCGCCTGAAAATCGACGTGCCGTAATACTCTGACTAAAATGTAGACACAACACTTTAAATTTAATTCACCAAAGTACATTACTGGTAAAAAACTGAGGAATAGATCTTTTATTTATATTTTACATTTACACACAAATCGCTAGGTCCAATATCTCAATATTTGCATTTTCTTTTAATTGCTACTTTTTAGAAATTGTAATTGTTCATCTTGTGATTCTTATTCAATTATTCTGATCGAGGAATTTCAAAAGGTCGTGTCAATATTTTCGTTTTCAATTATTTCATTTTATTGAAATAATTATCAAAATTAAGAAATTAATAAATTCTATATTTCAATTGTAATAATTAATTTGTAATCAATCATCAGAATTCTCAAGTGTATCACAAGTATTATAAATCTTTCTCCAAATTAGTTCTAATTTCTTTACTTCATTCTTCTCAGACGATCATAAATCTAAAACTAATCAGAAATTCTTTCCCGTCGTGGCTGCTTAATTTAATCAAAAATGTAGATACTTTTTCAATCGACTAACCAGGAGAAGCAAATATCCTGTAAATTTAAGAAAGTTTGAGTGAGTTTACGTCAATCATACTTCGAATCAATATGTCATCCATTTTAAATCTTTAAAGAACCGCCTTGCTAAGATTGATAAATGGCGAAGAAAAACGGGAAAGGTAGGGGGAAAGTGACAAGGGAAATACATCGGGCAACGAAGAGAAATACGAGCGATCCATTTGAAAAAAACGCATTATGCTGGTCGGTCTCGTTACAGTGGTTGTAAATAAAAACTCCGCTGCTCGTATCTGCATTTCAACCACACCCTGGGCCATTTGCATCTCATTTCGAACGTTATATCAGTTTCATTAACGAAGTGGAACAGTGGATTGCCGTTCCATTGATTACGCGTGGTTCGTTTAGTTTTCTCTGCACAATGTGTTCAAGTCAAATTTATCTTAACAAATGGTTACTCTTTTACTATAGATATTATCAATGATCTTGTTTTATACTACCAAGTACCATAATAATTAAGATTATAGAGTACATCATAAAACGAATATCGTCCAAATACATTAATCATTTATTTACACAAATATTACAAATTTGAGCAGCAAAGGGTTAAAAGTATCCGTACCATCAAATTAGTTAAAGTGCTAGATCAAACGAGGATCGCGTCACTTTGTAAGCGCAAAGTGTTGATCATAACTATGCTTGTAACGACTAAACCGTTGGTCAAACGTGCATTGGAATTACAGGGGCGCCGGTACGCAGAGAGAAGGGTGCTCCGGGTGTTCTCAAGGGAGAGACGCGGGCGTGAAGTGGTACGATCGGACGCGGCGAGGACAGGAGAAGAACGAAGAGGAAGCGGGCCGGTGGAAAACGGTGAAGGAAGAAACGTAAAAGCCGGAGGGGTGCAGGTAGTTGCACGTGGAGGCGGAGCGACGCCGCGCGTCGCGTCGGGCTAGAGACGTCGGCCGTCCTGCCCCTAAAACGTCGGGTGGGGAGTCGTGGCGAACGCAGTTCTCGACGGGTCGCCGAGAAGGTGTTACGGTATTGTCGTCGGCTCCGGGTCACGGCGAGTCGTTCGAAAAGCCACGTGATCGTCTTTTCGCCGGTGCTCGAAGTACTTTCGTTCGGTCAACCCTTTCGATCTTTAACGAAAGGATCAGCTATAAAATAGTGTCGTCGTTTAAAGTTCGCGACGTTGAAATAAATCTTCATAAATCTTTGATGTTCATGGTCGGTGAATTATTTTGTTTTCAATTCGTACACCGGTCTCCGTCTTTGTTTGTCTCGAATGTGATTAGTGCTACGTACTTCTACCTTGAGAATATAAACACGCGGGTCGGTTACGGTTTATTCGTACATTACTCACCTGGCTCAGTTCGTCGCGACATGCGTCCTTGCTCGTTTCGCTCGTACGGCTCTTAGTTCATAGACGGACTTGGACATGGTAGAAAGACGCAGTTAACGGGACACGTGTTTTTTTGTGTGATACTACGTGGACAACGACGTGGAGTGTCTAAAGGTGTTCAAGGTGCATCGGGAACCGGTGAAGGGATAAAGAATGCGACTGCTGTAGGGGTTGCGGACAGGAATTCGGGATCCCCGGGAGCTCTTCGATAAGGTAAGCGTAGATTATGATTCTTTTATTGGTGATTTTTATTTGTTTTTCTGTTTTGACGAATGGTATTGCGTATTTGTGATTTTTGGTCATCATGGTTTATTTTATAATTGAGTATTTCAGAGCGTATGTTGTCGAAGCTCCAAAACATAATTATATAAAATTATAGGGATCGTAAGGGTTTTCTAGAAAACGGGTTTTTTCAATTAACTTTGAATTTGAAAATATGATGTATATGTTACAGTAAAAGTGTTAATTTAGTGAACATATTACGCTCATTAATTTGATAAATAAACATATTCACCAGCAACGAAATTTAAATTTTTATTGCTGGGAATATTATTCCACGCATGATTTAATAAAAATGTATCAATATTAAATGAACACTTTCGCTAACAGATGTGCACACCAATCATATGAACTATCAATTTGATATGCTACGCATGTTTGTGAATGTTAAATTTGTAGTTAATTATTTTTCACTCAGGAGTGTATTACATATTTATTTCTAGTTTATAATGTCAAAGTGAGATCGTCAATAATTTACAACATCAAAAAGATTTATATTTCTCATGTGTATTTACTTTACTTGATATAACTAAATGCTCATAAATTTGTTTAAATGAATTGTAATTAAATTTTCATTTTATACAGACATTTAGTAAATTTCACTCTTTTACAGTAACATATGCAAATATTTTAATTTACGATAACTTTATTCGAAGAATCATTAATAGAAAATTTGAATCATCATTGTTTTTCGGTTCTTATACAAAATTTACCAATACAATCTCTGAATTATTTTGAATTTGGGCAAGTATTTATTTATTTTCTTCGGAAGTTTCTTTCTGTATGTAAAATTACAACGTGCAGTCTTTTTCTTTTTCGAATAGAATGCAGAATTATTTTAAAACTAATCCTATCTCTTCAATTTAACAATATCATATCAATTGGCGAATAGTTTTTAATTCCAACATTCTAGCATTTTTATCACTTGTCAGATATCGAAATTGCAAACAGCTTTTCACACATGTTCGTTACACCCATTTTATCTAGTAAATCTTTGCGATAACGATATTGACAAAAATAAAGAATAAAAATGGCTGATAAATTCATTCGTAAAAAAAAACTGAAATCAATTTTCTCGGTGTAACATCATAAAGCAATTGAAGCTATGAAACGACATCGAATCTTTATCGGTTTGCAGCATGCATTGACCTATCATTCGTCACGGGATACTGTTACAGAAATCGAAACCGATATTGAAACAATTTTACTGATACATGACCATAAACTTTCAAGATTGAATCTATGTATCGTAACGTGTACTATCGGCCGGTTTAACTACTCCCTTTTCTCCTAAATCACCGATGTTAAAACCGAAAAGAGGACGAACAGAAGAGAAACGTTTCAAATACGACGCGAAACATCGGTTGATTGAAATTTACAGCCATTAAAGTATATTTATAGCTCTCAAATAAAATTTGCAACCATAGTAATTTTCACAGAGTAGAATATATCTCTTTGATCTATAATCGATTTGTATTTTTGTTTTTTATATGAGGATTTTCTAAAAGATATTTTGAAATTTTACAAATTTTTTAGAATTAGAAAAATTGTTGCAAACGAAACTCGCGATACTCGACGTGTAAAAAGAAAAAAGAAACGAGATATTTATTCTAATAAAAATACATACTGATCGAATTGAGTAACCTCCTCCTTTTCGAAGTCGGTTAAAAAACAACTTTCACCTTATTAAAAATTGCTCACTCTCTTTAATGAAAGATAAACAATTCTCACTAAAATTCGTCAAAAATTTTATTCAAACAGTTCTCTGTTTATCTGCCGAGAAAATACATTGGTGAACAGGATAAAAGATTCAAAGTTTCATTTGTATGCGGCTCGAGTTTTTCGTGGCGCATAGTTTTCTGACCACGAAGGGTATACAAATATCAGAGTCCACAAGTTTCGCGCGTAAAGGATCGCAAAAGTTGCACGAAGATCACCGGGAACGTGAAAACATACGTTGATACATAGAAAAGGGTGTAGTTGACGGGGTCCAAGGCGAAGGAAGAACGAGCAGAATGCGAGTATTGGACGGCATAAGGAAAGGGATGAAAAGAAAGAGGGAGAGAGAAAGAGGGAAAAAAGAAGGCAGGAGGGAATCGTTTTAAACTACCATCCACTTCACATTCCTGATTTCAGTTAAGGGGTTTGTTTATTTCCTTTTTGGGTCTCGAAGGTTCGTCGTGCATTATACGCGTACCGCTGCTGCAGAATGTAATGCATCACGGATAAGAGAGGAAAAAGGAAAGAGGGGAACGATACCGCCCCTATACTAGCAGTGACAATGAACTTTTGCCTTGTCTCTTATTTGCTTCTTTTCTCTCCATTAGAATTGCCGACGACAGCTTTAATCGCGCTTTTCAATTATTTTCTACTGTATTAGTAACTCGTGTTGTTCGTGCAATTTTTTCATGCATTCATGCGTCTTTTGTTTTCAATTAAAAACTTTGAGAACCTGATTTTAGACGATGTACCTTGTTTTATTGTCATATTCGTTATTTACTAATTATTGGGAGGATAAGAACGTTCATTTTTGAAAATTTTATTTTACAAATAGAACAAAGCTGTCCCTTTTTATTACAGCAACGAAAAGCTGGCTATCGTAGATAGTGAATGATACGACATCGTTCCATTGTTTCCAAAGAATTTTACATGTCATGCATCAGGTCTAAAAGGCATAAAATTGATTTATGCTCACTTCGTGGAGCACATTGTTTTTTCTCTTTCATAAACGAGACCATGGTAAATGCCCGGCACATGAGATAAAACAAAATATGCAAGATTAAATAAAAGTAACGTGAAACTGCTTTAATAATGAGATATTCTATAGATCGTGTAAAAGTCTTAAAGTAACCTTAGTTGTAACTTCATTGAACATTGGTCATTAATATTTATGAAAGTGCAGTCACTTTTAAAGGTCTTTGTATATCTCAAATTAAATTTTACATTTCAATCCTTTTCTTTAACCCTTTTTTTTTGGAAACATGAAAAAAATAATTTAGTTCGATATTTTTTCAAAATAAATTTAGTAACTGTAAATCTTGAAGTACACCTTCAAATATTTCCACTGTATTCTGAATGAAGTCAAACGATAATAACATAGTTAAGAAGACAAACGAGTGCTGTGTGCGTTTCGATAGAGCACAGAGGGACATTAATTTACCAGAGGGGGGTCATTAAGGTTGTGATGAATGAAATGCATGCATCTTTGAATGCCACGCGATTCTTGTACCGTTGATGAAGAGGTAAGAAATATTTCTCTGTCGTCCGGTTACCTTTTTACTTGATGACTTATTCCTTGGCAATTCTTTTTTCCCTTATTTTTGCTCGAATTAAATTTCTCTTCAAAGTACCTATATAACTTCCTTCTGGAGCATTATTCACCGTTTTACGAGAAAATTAATTTTCCAATGTCAGAGTTGGTATTGCGTTCACGCACGCGATTTTTCTAATACTCCAATGTAATGCTCATTACCAAACGTATCAGTGTAATTTGAGGCATTTCTGAACCTTCGCCTCGTTTTCCTTGCGGTATGATGCAATCGTGAACGATGAAAAGGGGAAAGGGTGAGAGAAGAGAAGGCAAAGAGGAAAATCGTTTAGCACGCGATCTTCTCGTAATTCTGCACGCCAGTCTCATGGCACGCTTTGTCTTCGTCTCCACCTGACGCGTTACACGTGTTAGATTGTTTCCACTCTATTTTTCGACCGGTGCAATTATTACCATACCACGGCGTAGCAACCTAATTGATCAGGGAATCGTTAGGAGATGATATTCTAGATATTTGCCTCGTATTATCTATGAATCTTTTGGTGCTTTTTAGGTCGATTTCGTACCTGTTAGGTAAGGGTGCGCGGGTATCCGAAATTACGGGCTCGGGCGGTTTCCTGAATTATATGAATATGTATTCGGTTAGCAAGGTATTGTCAGTTTTGGGTGGGATTGAAAGAAGGAAGGAAAACGTTTCAAAGGGGAATGAAAATATTTCTGATATATATATTTAATATTAACCTTTTATTTATTAGAAGGGATTATAGTTGTTTATTAACGAATATTCATTAATTCGTTGAAAATATTTTAGAAAATCCATAAATTCGTTCTTTCAATGTTCAGTATTTTATTTTATTTATTCTTTAATTAAATTCTGTTCATTTTCATTGAGTCGTAAAAGTTACTGATGCAATCACCTACAAAACGAACTTTCCTCGATCAGACACGATTTCGTTTTCATTTTTCGCTGCAATACAAATTTTTCTCGAAGAATACAACGTTAATGATCGCATTTAAAACACGAGAACCTGGGCAATTTCTCGCTTTTCCGAGAAACGAGCGCAAAGCTTGAAAGCTGTGTCTTTCTTACACTGCTGATATTCGTTAAAAGAATTTTCTGAGTTTAAAGCTAGAAACTTGGTAAAACGTAGAACTCTATGATAGAGGTGAAACGAAAAGGACATATCTCGTTGGGGCTGGATGTATCTCGAGATATAGGGGTTGTTTCAGGGAAAGTGGAGCGACCTATTTTTTGTGGAATACTAGTCTTACGATAAAAAGCATGAATTGTTCGTACAAAACTGTGCTGTATAATTTAATATTTTTCTAAAAATAAAAATAGAATATCCAAAATTTAACTTAAATAATTACTACTTGCAAGTTAGGTGTAAACAAAAATCTCTACTGCTTTAAAATTTCACTATATGATTTTTTGCAAAAGTGCATCGATGCACTTACAAATGCACTTTTAAAAAAAATGTATCCGTAAATTTCTCACGTAAATTGATACTTTGAAATATTTTGTATAATGAAATAATTAGGGTACGATGTTAGAAAATCAAAAGTTAAAACATTAAGTGCATTTTGCAAGTGCACCGATGCACCGATGCACACGTGAAAAATATTATACAGTGGAATTAAATGGTACAGAATTTTCTTCTACAAT